TTCAGTCATAAGAAATTATCCATTTTTATCCACTATGCCATTAATAAATTTCCCACCCTGATTTAAAGCAGTGGTTTAGATTTTTACAAAATTACTCACGGGGGTCCCATGGCTCAGACCCCTAGGCATGCGGCCATAAAACCCAGTGGATGATCTGGACCGGGTAGATATAAATATCATAAACTAGAGGTATTTTTTGATGTTTAACTCAAACATATTTTTGAGAAGCAACAAATGTGGGGTGGATTTTATTCAAAATATGGATTCCAAACTTGAGCATTGAATCGTAGTGAATCTATTTTCCAGCTAATCTTTTAAAATCAGCAAACAACAACAGCAGTGTCTGTGCTCCTGCTTAAAAAAAGCAGCTTTAGCTGCTATAATACACACTCTCAAAAGCTACAAAATGCTTTACCAGTAACAGTTGCCTTAACAAGTACAACCCCAATTCCAAAAAAGTTGAGACGCTGTGTAAATAAAAACAGAATGCAATGATTTGCAAATCCCATAGACCCATATTTTATTCACAGTAGAACATAGAACATATTAGATGTTGAAAGTGAGACATTTTACCATTTCATGAAAAACATTAACTCATTTAGAACTTAATGGCAGCAACACATCTCAAAAAAGTTGGGACAGGGCTAAGTCTACCATTGTGTGGCATCCCCTCTTCTTTTAACAGTCTTTAAATGTCTGGGAAGCGAGGAGACCAATTGATGGAGTTTTGGGAGAGGAATGTTATCCCATTCTTATCTGATGTAGGATTCTAGCAGCTCAACAGTCCTCAGTCTTCTTTGCTGGATTTTTTGTTTTATGATGTGCCAAATGTTGGTGAAAGGTCTGGACTGCAGGCAGGCCAGTTTAGCACCTGGACTCTTCTTCTGTGAAGTCATGCTGTTGTGATGGATGCAGTATGTGGTTTAGCATTTTCAGGCCTTCCCTGAAAGAGATGTTGTCTGGATGGGAGCATATGTTGTTCTAAAGCCTCTAAATACTGTTCAGCATTGATAATGCCTTTCCAGATGTGTAAGCTGCCCACGCCACAGGCGCTAATGTAACCCCATACCATCAGAGATGCAGGCTTTTGAACTGTGTGCTGATAACAAGCTGGATTGTCCCTCTCCTCTTGCGTCAGCAGGACACAGTCTGTGGTTTCGAAAAAGAATTTCAAATTTTGATTGATCTGACCACAGAACATTTTTCCATTTTGCCTCAGCCCAGCTTTGGCCCAGAGAAGACGGTGGCATTTCTGGAACATGTTGACATATGGCTTCTTCTTTGCATGATACAGCTTTAACTTGTATTTGTGACTTGCACGTGACTGTGATTTCTGGAAGTGTTCCTGAGCCCATGCAGTGATTTCCAGTACAGAATCATGCCTATTTTCAATGCAGTGCTGTCTGAGGGCCCGAAGATCACGAGCATCCAATATTGACCGTCAGCCTTGTGTACAGGGATTTCTCCAGATTCTCTGAATCTCTTGATGATATTATGTACAAAACATTTTTCTGAAATTGTTCCCCAATTTTTAGTTTTTCGCAGATTTGTGAACCTCTGCCCATCTTTGCCTCTGAGAAACGCTGCCTCTCTAAAACGCTCTTTTTATACCCAGTCATGTGAGTTGGTTGCAAATTGCTCCTCCAGCTGTTTTTTTATTAGTACCACTTACTTTTTAACGCTATTTGCTATCCGGTGTCGACCAAAGGAGGATGGGTTCCCCTTTCGAGTCTTGGTTCCTCTCAAGGTTTCTTGCTCTTAGGGAGTTTTTCCTTGCCACTGTCACCTTTGGCTTGCTCACGGGGGCTTGGACCCGGATTTGTCTGTAAAGCTGCTTTGTGACAACACTTGTAAAAAGCATTATATAAATAAACTTTGACTTGACTTCACTTTTCCAGCCTTTTGTTGCCCCTGTCCCAACTTTTTTGAGATGCGTTGTTGCCATCAAGTTCTAAATTAGTTAATGTTTTTCATTAAATGGTAAAATGTCTCACTTTCAACATCTGATATGTGTTCTATGTTCAATTGTGAACAAAATATGGGTCTATGAGATTTGCAAATCATTGCATTCTGTTTTTATTCACATTTATTTACATTTTACATAGCATCCCATCTTTTTTGGAATTGGGGTTGTAAAAGAAAATCAAAGAATCAGAACATTTATTATATTTATAAAGTTTACTCACAACATTTTTGCGATGGAAAAAGACCATAAAAAACATTACATCAAGTTACAACATGTCAGTGATGCTAATGCTAGTTTACAAATGAGTGCAGCACTGAGGGCGTATTAAACAGACAGCAGACAATGCTTAAGACAATGTCAGTCATGCATATTATAGTGTCAGCATTGGCAGTACAACATGATGTAGTAAAAGTACAGTTCAGTACAGTTCAATGAGATGTGTCCACTGGCTTTGGCAAACACATTCATGACTGTGCTGTCTATCAAATGCAGCTCTTGTTAAATCTTCTCACTGCCAGACTGCAGCGAGAGGAAATTTCACACTTTTTATTTGCTAAAAATACTTATGGTTATGAGTAATAGGTACATTGATAACCCTTTCAGTGCCATGTTATGATAAAGTTTTAGTGGAAGTCCATGTAGTCTTGAAAAAAGGAACTACCACAGGTCCTCCGGCAGTCCCTTTCCATTGATGGATGGAGTAGAGTGGGTTGATGAATTGTGCAGAAACAGAAGTGCTCCACTAAATAACTGTAAACCTACAAAGTGCACCTATATGAAAGGCGCTTCTGATAAAATGGGTAGTAAGTGCTTGTACAATGTAGATGCACCTAATAAACTGGCAACTCAGTGCATACAGCAGGCCTCATTTCAGTGTGAATTGTCCATGCTTCCATAGGGCTATTAGTAATGGAAAATATGCATCACTGTGGAATCAAGCAGACTGATAGCATGCTGCACATGGAAAAAAAGGCTTGACTCACAGCAGTAAACCACAGCGGTGGTTATTTAATTTGCTTAAATGACAGGACTAACTTTAAATAACAGAACTTCCTTTGTCTTAGACGGCCGAGTCCAGCACAACGTTTTGAACACGGAGAAATACTTTCATCAGTAAAACTGCTGAGCTTATGCTCTCTATTCACCACCGCCCACACTACCCAGAGATCATTTTAATGCTTTGCCACCACACACATAAACTGTTTCTCACTCATTCTACAGGCAGACATTTCTCTTATGTCACTGTGAACAGTAAGCAATGAGGATTCTTCTTTCACAGGGTCCATATCATGGCAAAATGATTTTCTTGAAGTTTGAAGTTAAAGTTTCAAATCATGTTATTTGCTCCCCGGTCCTCTGGTCCATATATAAGCTGCAAAAACAGCCCAATTTGAATTCACTGTTTTTGTGATCTCCTAAAAATCAGTGCATTTACAGGAACACTGTACTTGAACACTGTCACATAACATTGGAAAAAGCATGTCACATGCCGTCATAAGGCGCCATGTGACATTGGGTATCCTAGCTACATTACTTAGTTGGGCAGGTTGTATCTGGTAAGTCTACTTAGCTTACTAGCTAAGTATCCATATTAATCAGTGACACAAAGCAAACAATAATTTAGTGTTGTAGTCAAGACCAAAACCTGGACACACTGATTCCAACTGAAGACTTCATAGTAGTTAAATCCAAGTCATGACCGAGACCAGGAGTGGCTGAGACCGAGACAAGACTGAGACCTGATCGTGATTTTTCCAGAATATAAAAATGAAAAGAAGAAAATGTGTAAAAATTTGTATTTGTACATTCATATGATAAATATTAATGAATGATTTTTTATATATTTTGTAAAATAACAAAGTTTAGCCTAAAAGTATGAATGAATTATTATTATATTACAGTTAATATTTGTATTGTATCTTTTCTCTGTCCCTTTTTCTCGACAACATATTCAGACTCTCCACCTGAAGTCTACTAAATATAAACCAAACAACACATCCAGTTTTTTAATAAATGAAAACAGCAATATTAACATTTTGATCTGATTCTGATGTTTGAATTTTGGAACCAATGAACATCAGACAAATACTATCCAGCTAATCCTTCATGGAAAGGATCAGTTAGATCCTCAACCAGCAAAACAGATTTTTTTTAAAATATGTAGATAAAGGACTGTTTTATTCTGTTTGAAGCTTTTGTTGATATTCAGTAATAACAGAAAAAAGTTCAGTTTCCAGTTTCCTCAGACAGGGGCATTGGACTCATCTGATCTCAAATAATGTCGAGACAGAGAGAAGTCAGAGATCATTCATGTACAGTCTTGAGACCTCGAGTAGTTAGCTACAACACTACCTATTTACCTTTAACTTCCAGCACTGACAATTTTTTTCACATTGTTTTCTTTCTGTTAACCTTCTTTATTATATTTACTAGAAGGGCCGTAGAGATCCCTCCTCTCCTCCACTTGACAGAGTTTCTCCTTATCCATTTTGAGGTGAAGTGGCAAGCAATGCAACAGATCAGAAATAGAAATGGGGCATCCGTTAAAAACAGCGCTCTGCCGCTCGCAGTGGGTATAGACAGGTTCACTGATTATAATTGGAGCATGACTGTCAGAACAAGGTTTAAATGAAAATTATGTTATGCAGCAGGGTTCAAGCAGGGCTTTTTGGACAGGGCATCCAATCAGAACAGAGCAGTCAGTCTTAAAGGCACAGTAACAAAAAAAAGTCTAAGGGATGAAAAATATATTGGAAAATGACTTGCTTTGGTACATAAATCCACACAAATGTTATAATGGAAAAATAAAATACAGGAAAAACATATGACATGGGCTCTATAGTAGAGACAAGCACCAAAAGCAGATTTCTCAAGTAAAGATAGATTAGATTTAAATATATGAGATTTTAATACACAGTATAACCCGTTTGAAAGCGCATCCTGAGTCTGAGACTCCTATTGAGGTGGACTTCAAAGGCTTAAGCAAAATCATGCCCCAAAAAAACTTATTTTGAAAAAAAGCACTGAAGCTTACCTGCACAGAGCACCGCTGAGCAAAATCAGACGTGTAACCAGTGAATCAAATTTGAGCAAAAGAAAAAAAAAAAGGCAAAGGCAGCTTTGTCTGTGTCTGCCTCTCCACGTGCCTCTGTTCGCTGAGCTAAAGCTGCGTCTGTATTCCGCACATCAGAGCGTGCCTTGCCTCTGGGCTGATATGTGTGTGTGCGCGTGTATGGCAGAGAGAGAGCGAGCGAGAGAGAGAAGAAAGCGTAAAAGAAAGAGAGGGGGAGAATTTTGGTCAGACCCATGTGGATTACAAAGACTGCCCTTAAAACGCCCCTTTTTTCTGGTGCTCTCTCTCCCACTTTCTCTCTCTCTCTTCCCATCACTGCCTTTCCATCTTTTTATTTCCTGCATGCAGCAGAAATTACTCTGTAGCCATTTACTCATTTTTGTGTGACAGCTTTTTTTTTACTTCTGAGATAAGAAGGCAGAGAGAACAGAGACACTGCAAATAATAAAATTTAATCATATTAAGTACATATACAATACTTTGCAAAAGTCAGAGACCACCTTTAATTTATTTAATTTCCAGTCAAAATGCCCATTATGGGTTTTTTTTTTTTGAAGATTTCTACAAGGAAATTAAATATAAGGCAAACCGTCGCCTAACAACAGCACAAGAGCTGGTAGACCACCAAAACTGTCCCCTTCAGATAAACAGTGCTTAAAGCTTTCATCTTCCAGAGAGAGGAGAAAATCAAGCTCCACTCTTGCATCTGAACTGACAAAAGGTGTTTGTCTATCCTTCCACTGTTAGAAGACTACTCACAACACTATGAGTCTGAAAGGACGTATAGCTGTCAAGAAGCTGTTACTGAGAAAAGAAAATAGACAAAAAAGAAGAAAACAGACTGATCACCCCAGAGTCCTCAACATCACTGAATGTGTTTGAGATCGTGAAAAGCAGAAAATGCAACCACCCTCTAAGACTGAACTGTGTAGATGTGGAAAAATATCCCTGTAGATAAAAAGTCTCCTTAAAAGAGAGGACACACTAAATACTGCAGAAAATTATATTTAGTTATTGAGGCTTTTGTGTAAATTTCTCTCTGCTTTTTTCCCTGATACTAAAAATGAATAGCTTGTTTTCACTGGATGTTCTGACCAGATATTAAATAAATTAAGGGTGATGACTTTTTGCACAGCCTTGTATATTAAGCTTTCAAGACAAAGAATTAAACACAGCAGCCAAAGGAAAGATAAAGACCCCCCACATACTCACAGCTCCAAAATGCCTTGTGATTTTTGATTGTCACTGTGCACCAGCATGTGGGGAAAACTAATATTAGCCAAATCGTGTTTCACATCGCCCTCCCACCACCCTCATCAATCATCAAGTGAAAACCCTCTGCTAACTCAGAGACCCTCACTGATACCGCATTTCATTCAGAAATGTGTCTCAACAGGACACATACCAGAGTATCTGACTTTTAAATGCATTAACCAGTAATAGTATTAATCAAATTTAAACGTAGAATATACAAACTACAGCTACAACTGCTCCTACTAGTAGTAATAATGTTAAGAGGAAATGTGGCTGTGGCAATCGGTGGGGTCCAAGCACATCATCGCCTCACTTTTGCAATGACTGTTAAGCTATTCATGCTAATGTGGTTAACATAGTTTAAACTGCCTGATTACCTGTGAAATTTAGAAAAAAGTAATATATTGACACAGTAATTAGATAGTGTTGTTTAAAACCAACACCATTTCACTATTTTAGTATACTGAAATTTACCTACCTGTGAGCAAAGTGAACATTGTAGTGCCTTTGGAGGCCAACTCGCACCAAATTTGGCATAGGGATGGGGAAAATAAGTGACTCTTAGATGCATTGTAAGATTCTGCATGTAACTGAACATCATAACTGGACTTTACATAGGTTTTCCAGAAATTTTAGTTTTTTTCTTCAAATAAAGGACATGTATAGTTTATATATAATAAATACATCAAATCAAAAAGTTTGGTTTTTCTTAAGTTTTAGTTTCAACTCATTAAAGGGTATGATGAATTCCACAAAGCTAACACTACTTATGAGAAGATGGACAAATTCAGACATGCAGCCTCAGGAAGTGACCATATCTGCAAATTTTGGATTTTGCGAAGTAGATGGGAAAGAATGAAAGAATGAGAATGAACAAGTAAAATTGCATTGTACATTCGATCCAGAAAAACAGCACTGTTGCTGCCAGTTAGTCGCAATGTTATGCAAACTCTAGTTACGGTACAACATACAATTTTGCCATCACTTCAGTCACACAGCAATACCCATGCTGTACAGCAAAACTAAATTTCAAGTTTTGGAATCATTGAAGGTAAATAGGGTAGCACTAATGTGATGTGAGGACATCTATGAATTGCAGCTCATGTGTTGCATCTCCAAAGAACAAAAGAAAAAAAGAGTGATGTCTTAGAGCTATACCATAGTTCTGGTAAGAGATATAGATGTTGCTGCACAGCTGTCTTATTTCAAACACATGAAATGTAACATTCACACTCCGAATTTGGCCTCAAAACGATTTGCCTACTGTGTCAAGGCCATTGGGGAGGATCAGACCAGTGGCAAACCATGACTGTCAAAGCTAGACATTCAATTCCAGCCAAAACTCTGTCAAAACATGAAGAAAAAACCCCAGCTCTATGATAATGCTAACTTCTGTTAGCATCCCCATGGGGTTCAAGTAGTTTGTTAATGCTAAGCCAATGTCAATATGCATGAACATTTTTTGAACATTTGAAGTATGAAGTATGACAGACATATTAGCATGTTTTAGCTTGTAGCAGTTTCACAGTGACTTTTTCAGTAGTGAGCTCTGGCATGGAGCTGCTGCCATTTTCCATTTTTAACAACACACTGATTCGGCTGCTGCTTGTTTTCACAGTCAGTGACGTATATAGGACTTCCAGGACCTTAAAGTGATGTTTTTTTCCCCCTCACAAAATTGGTCCTGCCTATTGAAAATCAAAATGTGACTGGTTGATTCCACTGTTCCTTTCTAACTATACTAAAAATAAAATAACATTAGGACTTTTTAATAGTTCTTGAATAGCTTGCTTAGCTGCCTAGATACCATGGAAAAAAACAATTCCTGACAGACCAATTTCTTTCCATTTCAAGAATATACCCTCTTTATTTCCTTCCAAAACTTAATAATGACACAAAAGTCCATGAAGCAGATGTTGCTATTAAGGCTCTAAAGCCAGTGAAAGATGCCACTGCATTCATGTCACAAGAGAAGTCTCTCAAATTGTCTATGATTGCTCTACTGCATGCTCAACTCATCCACGACACAAAAGACACAGACATCAGTTGTCTGGCAGGTAAAGCTCAACATCAACAAAGACCTCACCAGGAGGTACATCAGTAAGTAGGAGTGCTCTTGACCTACATTTTGAATAAGCAACTTATTCTGTAGATCTGTTTATGGTTTTAGCAATTTTGGACTGACTGAGCTGGGGGTAGTGTGTCCAAGTAAATTAAGAAAGCAAGTAATTTAGTTAGCTGGTGTAACGTAGCCAACAAATGCCCTGCTTAAATGATTTGTCACTTATTGTAGCCATCTTGCCATAAAACTAAATTTCAACAAATGCTAACAGTACTTGCATTCAGAATGAACACTTAGCACCATGACATTAACACTTCTGCAGTTACTGTCATCATTCCTGGTTGAACCTGACTCTACATCCATAGTCCCACACAGACTCAGAGTCCGACTTCTGCCAGAAAATAAAAGCATAAAAAAGAGCTTGTGACAACGGGATCATTCATGCAAGTGTCAATCACCATGCTGTCTGAAATGACCCTACAGTCCAGATCCAGCAGAGAAGTTGAATTTTTCCAGCTTTTCACTCCATTTGATAATGATTTAGATTTAAGTTGGATTTATTCAAATCTGACTGATGAGACATGGAAGAGTGACTACTGAAGCTGCATCGCTAGTAATTCTGGCATCATCTTAAATGCTGAAATTAATAAATAATAACGTCACTTTAATTTTAAACTCTTTTATAACATTACATACATTGTGCATGGCTTTTGATAAGGCGTAGAAACCAACACTTCCACCATGCAAGTCAGCCCCTGCCAGTGCTTTGTGGCCAAATATTGTATTTCCTCATCACTCTCTCTCTCAGCATCCTCCCAGTTAATGATGTGTCAATGAGATGATGTTTCCCCTGCTTTCCAAGCTGGCAAATAGATAATTATGCATTCCAGGAAACAATGTCTCTGCAGAGAAAGGGCCAGATATATGTACAATGATACATATGTTGATGCGACTGCAATATGCGCCCACAACGCACCAGAATTTTAACATTCAGTTTATTCATACTGCAGCTGATCATGCAGACTGCGTGTGGACCCACCAACTAACTCTTGAGGTGCAGGATGCTGGGTTACTCTGATGGCAAGCATTCTTTCAGCATGTGTTTGAGGCTCATGCAGGTCTGCTGCCACCATTAACAGGTCTTTTGAGACCCTAATGCAATTTCACACCTGGTTTTAAAAAGGCAGAGAAAAATTCTTGCAAAACAGGCCACTGCGGTTTGCTCAAACATATATGTAAACATTAAGGAGTATGTAATGAACCTCATTTCTCATATCTCCAACCTACATATTGTGCAACCTTTAGTCTGTCAATATTGGGCAAAATCCTACTATTAAACCACCAAAATGTGTTTTATTTTATTACAAGCCTCTGACATAAGGAAAACTACTTTTGAGGACTTAATGGGCTCAAATCCCACATGCTAGTCATTAAGACTTTTAAACTTTCAAATAGTCATCTCTGCATCCACACCTAAACCTTAGCTGAGAATAATTTGTTATAACATGAATATATGAATTAATGAAAACTAAGAAAAATAAGAATGAAAGGGAAACCAAAACTATGAAGAAGCTGTTTATTTAAGATTAAGGAATTTGAGTTGAGGTCATATTTGCCATTTCACAGTTCACAATACAATCCCATCAGTCAGTAAAGCACTGTTCAATTAAGATCACTGTAGTTTGTTTGTTTGTTAATTTTTCCTTTAATGCTTATTTTAAATGTTAAATTATATGGGCCAATATCAGAATTTTTTGCTTCTCAAAATTGCTATAGGTCACATTTTTTCATATCAGCCAAGTCCTTCTGTTGTAAGAATTTGTCAAAGTGATTGCTTTTGTTAACTAAGCTCAACTCAAATGTTTCATTGGTGTCTGAAATAATTGAAATATATTT